TGCTCGTGAAGGCTCCCTCAGCCCTTCCCCTGAGCAAGCTTTTCTAGCTCACACAGAGCTTTCCCACGCTTCACGCTGTGGGGGAAGCATCTTATGAAGCCATGAAAGATAGGGACACGGTAGCATCATATGCATGTGGCTTTTGTCTATGTCAGTGGTTCTCAACCTTGGCTGCACATTAGAATCACCTGGGAATCTTTTTAAATCCTGATTTCTGGGCCTCATCCCCCAGAAATTCTGTTTCTTTGTTACTAATGTTGTGGCCCCACCCCATAACAAAGAAACAGAATTTCCGGAGGATGAGGCCCAGAAATCAGGATTTTAAAAAAATTCCCAGGTGATTCTAATGTGCAGCCAAGGTTGAGAACCACTGGTCTATGTTCTTGGGGCAGTGTACCAAGAATTCAGCTTTCAAATCGGTGGAGTTTTCACCACAAAGAAACTCAGATAGAAACACTCCAAAGAACTGCAGAATTACAGAGGTACATGCAACCCTCAGTGCGAATGTTGGCAGCCCAGCGGGCTCTGCTGAAGGACATGGCTGCAGCCGTGGCCTGCCGAGGGCTGTGGGCAGGCGGAAGTGAGCTACCAACAGCAGCAGAGAAAGAAAACTGCCGCAGGCGGCAGGAACGACAGCAAGCAGACAGGAACGAGTCCAGGAGGGGCCTGCAGGTGGCAGAGAGCAAGGCCAAGGACTTGCAGCAAGGTCAGAAAAATCCCCATAACAGAATAATTCCTCTGAGATTTTGGCAACATTTTCTAAGAGAGACAGACCTGGCTCCAGGGTTCACAAGCCTGAACGCTCCTTGGCTGTCAATTCGTGCCTCTTCAGAAAGAACTAAAGGTCATCACCACACTTATATCAGGATAGCATGTTTGTACGTAGGTATTTTATGTTTAACTAAACTGGTTCCTAAATTCTGCTCATTTGCATATTGGTGGAGCTGTGACTCACACGCCCACTTGTTGTTTCTATAATAAAGAAATGTGAAGAGCATTTCCTGGAACCGAAGTACCTGAATCCAGGTGTTCCTGTAGCTGTGTGCTAATCGGGCTGCTCTTAGGCAAGGGCAAGCTGCCCCAGCTGGGGTTCCCACTCTCGCTAACAGGTGCAGAGAAAATCAGATGCGATTGTTTCTCTGAAAGGGGCTTTAATGATGACCTTCTAAAGAGGACAAGGATGCATTTGCATCTTCAACCTAAATAGCACAAAGATTGGCTTGTACACGTACTCTGAGAGATGGAAGTAATTAAGGATAGTGGTTCTACAAATTAATCTCTTCTTCTGAACTATAAAGTCTTTCTAAATGTAATTTTAGAAAAGGTACCACGTACATTTTGTTTGTACTTTTGTATATTCATATTGATTGACTGTAAGGATGAATATTGAAATTAAAATTCCAGTGCGATCGAATGAAGCATTATGGAGCTCTCTTTACTGGGTTTCTTTTCTGGGCACCAGGACAGGAGATTCTCCATGTGTTTCTGCCAGTTTCACCAGCCCCTCCTCCTTAGCTGCCTTTGCTGGATCTCCCTCCCCTCCTTTAACTTCTAACCAAGGACCTTTTCTCATCTGTTTCTATACTCATTCTCATTGTCATCTCATTGGTTGCATGGCTTTAATTGCCAGCTATATGCTGTCAACTTACAATTTTACTTCTCCAGCCCAAACTTCTTGCCTAAACTCTAGACTCATAAATCCATCTGCTTGCTTAGCCTCCATTTGATGTCTACAGCCCCAAATCCTCACCTAATTTTCTCTCTCCCAACTAATTACAACTCCATCCTTCCAGATGTTTGGGCCAAAAACCTAGATATCATTCTTAAGTCCTGTCTTTTTCTCAACATTCACATCGCATTGTCAACAAATTTCATTAGTTTGCCTTCAGATGTACCTAGACTCAGACTGCTCACCACCTCCACTGCCCTCACCCTGGCCCACCATCTCTCCCGGCCTGCTGCATTTGCCCTCGTATTCTTCTCCCTGCTTCTGCCCTTCACCCCAGTAGGCTCTTCCTAACCTAGCAGGCAGTGTGGTCCTGTTAAAACCTAAGTCCTACCTAGCCACTTCTCTCTTCAAAGCCCTCCAGTGACTTCCTGTGTTGCTCAGAGTGAAAGTCACACTCCTCACAGTGACCACACCACCTGCACCTGCCATCTCCGCCACTCTCCACTGCTGTCCCTCCCCTCCAGCCTCACTGGCCTCCTAGTTCCTCCCACACCCCTGCATGCTCCTGCCACGTGCCTTAGATTTGCGTTTCCCAGACTGCTCTTTACCTTACGTCCACATGGCATTTTCTAAAATGGCACCTTCTCTGTGCATCCTTCCCTGACCATGCCACTTAAAATGATGGTTTCCTCCCTATTTTGGTCATCCTTGTTCCTTTCCCTGCCTTGTTTTAGCCATAGCACTCTTCAGCATCTGATGTATCACTAAGTTATTAGACATTAGTCTTTGTTCGTCTCTCTCACTAGGTTCCATAAGTGGAGATTTTATCTGTGGTGTCCACTGCTATATACTCTGGGCTTGAGCACTCAAGCCATTTGCTATGCACAGAAGAAACTCCTTCTTTGTCCAGGAAGAAAATGATCCAGATAAATCTTATCAGTCAAAATCTGATTTAAAAACCAGCCTTGTAATTGTGCCATGCACTCAGTAGGCACACTATAAAACACATTAGAATCAAGGACATATTTTATGGATATTTTTTTCTGGAAAAAAGATAGACCCTGTGTGAAACGCAAAACTGTAAGTTCTAAAAAAAGTTGCTCCAACATTTTCTTGAACATCAAAACCATTATTTTAGATGGTGCTATTATGCTATAGATCTGAGGCTTTCACAGTCAACTTAATAATGAATACTTTACTCACTTTGCAGCTTTACTCTCTTCCATCGAAAATTTTTTTAAAAATTAAATCTAAAAGATAACTATGAAAATCATTAAAAATCAGAAAGAATAGTTATACTGACTAGTGCTCATGAAAGTTACGTTTTACTTCAATAAGTTTTCTTGGTGCTGGTCCAAGGTTGGTGTTTCTATTGGAATAATTTCACCGAAAAAAAAAATACATGCTGCACCCATTTGGTTTCTTAATATCATTCTCCACTAAAAGGGACAAGAAGTTGCTGGAGAAATGGCTGATTCCAGACTTGAGGCAAGGAAAATGCAACTGGTACCTCGGCATCCTGTTGTGCCTGAAAGTGAGAAAATTATCAAGAGCTAATAGGTTTACTTCAAAGGGAAAAAAAAAGGGGGTGCAATAGAGGGGCCTCTTCCTGGCCAAATTTGGGATAATTTGAGTATCAAAAAAATAATGACAGATCAGGGTGACAAAGAGAGTTGGACAAAATCCACAATACAACAATGACTCATCCCAACCAAAAAGAAAAAAAAGAGATAAAGGCAGAAATGTGTGCGAGGATGTAAAGCTCGTCTTAAAGAATGCTAGCTAATAAACGTAGGAGGAACGATGGAGTGAGAAAAACCATCATTTTGCAGCCCATGCTAAATCATTGGGTAAAAGATGGCCGGGTTATAGGGTATGCACACAGTGCCAGATTATCTATCACCCCACAGATTACTTGCTACTTACAAAGCGAAGACTTTAGCTTTTCAATGGGGTGAGATGGCAGTTACCACTTGAACCAAGTGATGCAACTCGAAATTACTAATAGTGGAACACCCTCACATTACATCTCCTTGATGCGGTGCAATGGAGAGTTTCCATTACTCTGAAGTGTTTTTGCCATACAATTGTATCTAATCAGGTCACTTGACCTCATTTCCACTTTACAAGATAAATGCAGCCTAGAGGAGCAAGTGAAACCCCATGGTGAACCACACAGACAGATCTAGAACATTGGATATTCTACAAGGTAACAGCTTGGACTAAAAAAAAAAACAAAAAAAAAACCCTACTGTCTTGAGAAAAAAGAAAAGTAAGGTGAATATTCTAGATATAATAACTACAGAGATATAACAATTAAGTAATATAATGCATAAAATTAATTTGATATTGGTTAAGGAAAAATTCTATAAAAGATACTTTTAGAAAAATTTAAATATGGGATGGATGTTAAGTCTTGTTATGAAACGTATTTAATTTTTTTAGCCTTTTTTTGTTTTGATATGGTATTGTGGTCATTAGGAGAATATTTTTATTCTTAGGAAATGATGCTGAGGTACAAGAGTTAAGTGGCATGATGTTTACAATTCATTTATAAACGATTCAGGAGCAAAGGCAAATAGGGGTGCTTTATATACATACATACACACACACATATATATACATACACATACATATATATGTATACTGTATATATACATATATATGTGTGTGT